ATGGACTAAGGCCCCCCAGTTTTAAGTTGGTTTATATATAAACATGTATAAAACCCATTAACTACAGTTACATCCCCAAAAAAAACATGGTTAATCAAGTTATGTGCGTCAACAAAAAAAAATAGGGCCCCTACCTTGTATAGGTTTGTTCCGAGATGGGGTATACCCTCAATCCAGCTATTCCAATTATCAAAGTTCGTAACTGGGCCAGCTATTTCTAGTTAAACCATCTGTTTCTATGGGTCATTTTCCATAGCCATGTTAGTTGACTGGAGGGTAACATCCATTATACCGTTGTATCTCAGTATACATCATTACATGCCCATGAATATCCACTTCTGCCCCCACATTGTGGTGATTTTCCCAATTTCATTTCGATATGTGCAACTTAATCACCAATCATAAAACTGATTAAATCTAGCACGCCGTTAGTTCGCTGCTTGCTTAATCTTCAATCATCCATATTGTTGCTCTTCATTCTTGTAAATATGCCATATCGGTTTATAACCCCATGAAAACTAAATAGTTACAGTATATTCCATGAAATTAACCAAGTCCAAAAACCGGAGGCCTCAAAATCGAGTTTACCTATCATAGGGGAAAACCACCAGCCAGCGTTTTCACCACAAAAAACCACCGGGCCCGTGACCCTCCCCACCTCTGAGGTGCAACTCCTGCCGCTTCAGCTCTGCGCCGTGCCTAACTAATGACGCGATTTCCGGAAGGTTCACCATGAAAAATGAAGGAAAAACGCTGGAAAAAAACCAAGGCATTTTTCATGTGAAAAGATGGGAAAAGGACACATTCTTGGAAAAGGACATGTTCTCATGGACTTGATTTCATAACACATCATTTTTCGGAAAAGGACACATCATTCGAGAGAATTCACCAAGAAAGTTATTGAGAGCTGTGTGTGACTAAAGATGGGGTATATCCCAATGAATTTGGCCCTTTTGATGAGGAATATACGGTGAGAAACCAGTGGATTTTTCGGGGTATCCGGTTGTCTCAGACCAACCCAGGGTGATCTAAGGGATATACGGTTGAAACACCATGGTTCTTACAAAGGTGTCCTCGACATGTTCCCAACAAAACCAATTCGGAGAAGTTTGATTGCAGGGATTTAGTCAGAAAATATGAAAAAATGTCTGGTTGGTGATTTCAACCCCTCTGAAAAATATGAGTCAATGGGAAGGATTATCCCATATAGTATGGAAAATAAAGAATATTTGAAACCACCAACCAGATGTTGTGTTTTGTTAATGTCTTGGTTAATATTCCCTTTGGGTTTGTTCAACAATTTTGTTTGAACCCATTATCTATTGCAATTTCAATGAGATTTGGGTACCACTGCCCCAAGGCCTTATGGATAGAGGTGATTATATAGCCCCCATCAATGCTGATGCATTGGGTGTATTAAACCTCTATTGCTGGGGGCTAACCATCGAGAAATTTGGAACTGTAGAAATTCTTACAGTATCCTTTCGCAATTTGAGCATTTATGAGGTGTTTAATATGAACGGGTGATGGGATTCATTTATTATCCATTGTTTCTATTCCCATTCATTCATAGTCTCAAACTAAGATCCACAACGATCCATATTCATCACTTGGTGGTTCCTGATGGCCAGAGAAACCCATGTCCCAAGCAATGACACCATTGCTTCACCAAGCCATCCAAAGGTAAAAATACCATGACGTAATCCATGTTACCTATGAATCCTAGCTGAGTCTAGCTGCAATTCGAATCTGACCTGAATAGATCAAATAGCAAAATCGTTGAGGTTTGTTGGTGAAATCAATCTCGGATGTGTCCATTCGAATGGCGGACCCAAAATCAATTCGGTGTTTTAAATGGGAAAAGCCAGGGTTTTAGGTACTCACCAGCCGGTTGAACCTCCCAACCAGCTCGCAACTTCCAACTTCCACTGGGTCCCCTGCTCAAGCTGAATCGCCTGGTTGGAACTTCACTTTAAAAAACTGGATGATCTAAGTGGGAAATTCAACAGATCTGCAAAATATTTTCAAAACCATGAATCTATATGGCAGTGTGTCAAAACCCTGGTACCCCTGTAGTTCACATCAAAATAGCTGGGATTTATGGATGTTCATTCCCCTAAAAATGGTATTTTCATAGGTATTGATCCATAGCCATATCATTCTATATCAGTCTATATCAGTCTATACCTTTTTTATGTGTACCTTTTTCTGTGTATCTTTATCTAAACATTTCTAACATGGGTCACTTCACACGTTTCCCATGAGTCACGAAAAAATCGTTACCTGGATGTCACTGCTAAAAACCAATGGCATCGCCGCCCATTGGGGATAGAGGGATAGGTGTATTCAATATGTTCATAGTCAATCTTTGATAGTCGACCAAAAAAAATGCAGATAGGGCTTGGAAGATTCGTTTCCATTACAGTAATAGTGATTTTCAGGGTCTACATATGTTAATTTACCAGGGGGGTATGTCTTGCTATTACCATCCAAGGTTAGGGATGTTTTCTGGAAAAAAACCAGAAGTTTCGACCGACAGCCGTGCCCGTTTGTAGAATACTGATCAATGACTTTCACATAGCCATGGTTTACCATGGTTTACCTATTAAAAATGGTGATGTTCCCATGGCTATGTAACGAATAACCAGATGGTAAACGACTTTTCTAGAAACTGGTCGTTTTCGTTTTGATCACACTTAAAATGCTGGGTCATCGTCAGCCCTGGCGGCTCACTATCGTCGTGTTGATTGAACACGCCCGGAAAACCGGACAGCGCCGTGGAGGTGGAGGCCCCATATTCGAAAAGCTATGGGACGTAAATTGCCATCCCATCATAGGCCAAGCATTTTTTGCCAGTTTTTGACCAACCACTAAGCCTAAGCCATTTTTTAAGAGATTAACCGTTAGTAAGGTTTGGGTAAAAAACAGTCATAGCGACCACATCATCCCATCATATCCCCATCATATACCCATTAATACTATGAATAAAAGAAATACTGCACCAGTTGGTAGATGGTTTATACCATCTTATACCCTTACAATCCCATTCGTTACAGTGTTTCATAGTTACCATTAGTTACCAACTGGTAATTTAACGTAGCTATTGAAAATGCCCATTTATAGTTGATTTACCCTTTAAAAATGGTGAGATTCTATAGTTATGTAACAATTTACCAGAGGGTAAGTGCCATTAAATCCCATTAAATCCCATTAAATCACATTAAACCACCATTTTCCTATGGTTTTCCTATGGTTTTTTCACATTTTCCTATGTTAGTTACCAACTGGTGCAGGATTTCGCAACCATCCACCTCTCATCAAATTCCATGGAATCGCCATGTTGATTTTGGGCGACGAGATGCTAGCTAATGTATAGCTACAAGGGATATGGTTATTTTAATGGATGCCAATTGGATAACAATGGTAACTATTTCCCATCTAATGTCATAGAAATGGTTTTTCGAATGATTTCCAAATTGTGATATCGGATTTCTAATTGAAAACATAGGGATTATGTTTTTGGGTTTCAAGATCCATTGCCATCAGAAATCCAAAGTGATGTTTTTGAATATCGTTTTCGGGTTTACTATTTTTGCCATATTTACAGTATAACTGGCGCGTATCATTTGATAAAATGAAATTGTAGCCAGTTGCTAACTGGATTGAAACTGGGTTGTTGTAACTGTGTTGTATGCCATTTGCCACTGGATTGAAACCATACAGTAGCTCGTTCCTGATTAGGAAGCGACAAACATATGCAAGTAGTACCTTGGGGGTGCAACTCCCATAGATTGGGATATGCGGCCCCTACAGGTATGGTGAAATATCACCACTTATTAGTGGAACTGCACCTGCTAGTATATTCCATGCTAGCAGCCGTTGCAGCTACCTAACTTGGAGGTAGCTACCATATATCAGGTCTATGTAAGGGCCAAGTTTCAATATACAGAACCCCCGATTTCTATGGCTTAGGTGCCTAAAACGGCCATCGATCAAATGACTGAAACTTGACCAGAAAAAACAACCAATAACTCTTAGTTACCATTATCATCAATTATCATCAATTACCAAGGGTTAAAAGTAGCACTTATCCTATTGTTGGTGGCTATAGCAATGTGAAATATCCCATTATAACCCCATTCAAACCTCAGATGGTCCAGTTCTCTTTTTTGTCACTCGCCCAATGGCTCACAAGGTCTCGTTCGGTCTTTTATCACCACGTACGGGTCGACCTATGGAGAACAGAAGTTCCACCAGCTTTTTTGGAATTTGAGGGAATGATGTATAATTAATACGTATTTATCTTACAAGACTTGGATAAAATGGAAAATCAAAGGGGACAGCATATTGGTGGGTCGGTACTTGACTGGAGGCAACTTCTTTCGAAGGCTCCAAGGCTGTTAACCACGTGCAGTGTCTACATACTCATCAATATCTAGGTTTAGGATGGTGAACATAATCCATGAATTAGGCTTTGTGGTGACTGTAACCAACGTTCACATCACCGGAGGGGCACCAGCTCGTATACAAATCTATCTAGTCTCATTACCACTATATGTTCATTGTACCGTCATAGTATATACTGTATATATATAATATACACCCACCTCACCTTATATAAAGTGGTTGTTTATTCTTTAGTTATCCCTGTTGTTGGTGGTTATTAGTTATTAATATCCCATAAATCTCTCAGATATAAGTTGGTTTATAACTTTATAACCCCAATAACTAGAGTTATATCAGTCATTTCCTCATTGATCAACCAGTTCAAATATCCTTCATACTGATCAAACTATAGTTTATACCATGGTTTCATGGTTAACCCAGCATTTTTCATGGTGTAAAACTATAGTTTATGTTTTACACCATCAAAAACTATACCTGGGTGTTAACTATACCATGGTTTTCATGGTTCATACTGATCAAACTATAGTTTATACCATGATGATGAACTCAAAAAATCATGTCAGTATCCTGTCAAGTGTTCATTGCCCCATCGCTCACTTCTCCGGCGGCTCGCAGATATACAGCAGCTCCTGCAAAGCGCAAATACGCAAGAGCTAAGAGACACGAAAGCGACATTTCTTGTTGTTCAATGTTTGTATAATTATATATACATATACATATACATACATACATGTGTCTGTGTGTTTGTCCACCTTTTATATATATATATATATTGCTAAGCCCCTATTATGCTTAACTTACCCCCTGTTTGCTGGGCAAGGGGGGGCCTATGTAGTGGTGCAACTGGTGGTGCGTAGTCTGGACGATCCAAGTTCAAATTCCATTGAAAATTGAAATAAAAGCCGAACATCATCCCCGTCGCAAACATTTTAATACTAATGGTCCCGAGACCCAACATATCCAGAAAAGCATTTGTTCCTCTCTGGCGCCAATTGATTTCCTGGGTGTTGATTCTGATGCAAATAGTAATGAAATATGGCCATAATTTTATTGTGTTGTCAAAGCAAACACGTTTTCATTTGTCCAAAGATCGCATTTCCATGCGAAAATCACCATTCAGATTCACGCGGTCCCATTGCACTTTCCGATCTGGTTACAATATAGGTTCCGACGCGGCTCCGAGGCGGCTCCGACGGAACCGCGTCGGAACCGCGTCGGAACCGAGTCGGAACCGAGTCGGAACCGAGTCGGGACCGAGTCGGAACCGAGTCGGAAACGCGTCGGAACCGCGTCGGAACTGCGTCGGAACCGAGTCGGAACCGAGTCGGAACCGAGTCGGAACCGCGTGGGAACCGCGTCGGAACCGTCGGAACCGAGTCGGAACCGAGTCGGAACCGAGTCGGAGCCGAGTCGGAACCGAGTCGGAACCGAGTCGGAACCGAGTCGGAACCGAGTCGGAACCGCGTCGGAACCGAGTCGGAACCGAGTCGGAACTGAGTCGGAACCGCGTCGGGAACGTGTTGGCCCCAGAAGGGGCCTCTATAATGCTTAGTAAACCTATACACTACTTGTGCATGGGGCGGTGTCAAACAGGACGCGGGGCAAGTAATGACCGCAGCAAAGTCGCCCCATTAGTAACTGCAGATGTTTGGGCGGGCGAAGAAAACGAATCGGGCATTCCATCAGGCTCCCCGTTCCTGAGCCCCGAGAGCACCACCAAATGCCGACATAACACAGGCCACCTATAAGCATATATGGAGGCCCATTCTGGGGCCAACATCTTCCCGACGCGGTTCCGACTCGGTTCCGACTCGGTTAATTCCGACGCGGTTCCGACGCGGTTTCGACGCGCTTCCGACGCGCTTCCGACACGCTTCCGACGCGCTTCCGACGCGAGCAAACCGAAGTGTGGAACGACAAGACCGTCTATAGACCAAACTTGGGGTATCTTTCAGCAAACGGGGTCCTACAAATTGGGAAACAGAGGCCAATCCAGCCGCGAAAGAGCTGCAGGAAACGTGCCCACACATAGTGAGCGTTTCACCTTAAAGAAAAAAGCTTTTGGAAGAGCAACTCCAGCACCGCTTCCTCAACCACAAAAATTGAATCCAATGCTCGGCATGGACCTTAACTTCACTTCTTCGACTTCCAAGAAAAACGAGACACCCGTTAGAGCACCGGGGTTAACACCACTTCCTTCAAGACGAAAAATCAACTTATTTTTGGGTTACTTACTGGACACCAGCCCTAGCACCACCTCTGTCCCCACCAAAAGTGCCTCCGGGGGTACCCGGCCCTAAAACCAAAGTTAAGCATTACAGGTTCCTATCAATATATATATATATCATTAATATAGCCAGGGCTTGTAGCTATGGATATCTCAGGGTATCTACACCCCATAAAAATCTATCTACCATCTGGTTATTTAACAGAGCCATGGGAAATGGCCCATAGAAATAGATGGCTTACCAATTAGCCCAGAAAATACCCTAAAAATCTCAGTCCTATGAGCCCAGAAACACAAAAAATGCTCGTTGGATCTTGAAAAATCCAAGCTTTTTTTGTGTACAAAAATGGGGGTTCCTTAAGCCATGCTGGATCCCCAAGTCGCCATGGGTTTCAATAGGTTTCAATACTAAATCATGGTCTAATGACTTGGAATGATTCGGGAAACCTACAGCTTTCAATCTTAAAATGTGTCTAATCTTCAAATGACTTGGATGATTTTGGGCCCTCTGGTAAACTAACATAGCTAGCCTCTGGTAAACATACAAAAAACTATTGAAAATGGCCATAGAAATAGTTGATTTATCCATTAAAAATGGTGGATCTTTCCAGTTCGCAAAATGTTAGCGCCATGGCTCCCAGTTCGCTCTCTAACAAATGATCAGAGGCTGTTTTTCCCATGGAAAAAATCCCATGGAAAATCACCATGTTTTGTTTAATCGCCATTAAAATCACCAGAAAAAAATAGGTCTAATCACCATCGAAACCATCAAAATGTTCATAAACACCACTTTTTTTCCACCATAAATAGATAAATCGCCATGAAAATCGAAAAAAATAGGTCTAATCACCATCAAAATCACCATAAATCACCATGGAAAAATCTATCCGATGCCACGAGAATTCCAGGCCCCCAGGCCCCAAGAACTGGGTCCGAATGGGATACAACATGAACTACATAACCATATAAAACTGGATATGAAATGAGATATATATATATTTATGTACATTTAGTGGAATGCAATACACCAACAATATGGTCTGAAAATGGGAATGATCGTAAAATGACAGTTTGAATCCGGATAATGATGATGATTCTAGTGACCCATAGCCATGTTTCTATCTCCAAAAAAGACCTAGCTTGTCATATACATGTCAATCAACATACATCAGGTCGACAAGGTGTCAAGCATAGCTGCAAGCGCACCCCCAACAAAAATATCACATGTGTATGTGTCTTGGTTGAAAAATACCTCAACCAAAGAAATTACAAATAACTCCAAAAAAATAAGCCCAAAAAGTGTCACAAACAGTTGAAAAAGCAAAAGAACATTGCATCATTCAAAGAAATGTCGAAAATAGTTCGACGAAATTACTCGACAAAATGTCAAAAGTAGTTTTAACAGCACCCAAAACTGGAAACAAATGTCGACCATTGTTTGAAAGAATGACCAAACAATGTGTCAAAAACTGTCCACACAAAAAGTGCGACAACCTTCAAAACATTATCCCTTGGAAAAGTGTTAAGTTCGAACAGCAACATTCTGGAGAACAAGAAACAAAAAACATAGTTATTTTGTAACATGACTCAAATACAATCTCTTAAAACGTATGTGACACAAAGGAAAAACACAAGCCCGTCAGGGAAAATTGCTATAATTCTTAAATCAGAACTATGTATGTATACATAATATGTATATGAATATGTATATGTATATGTCTGGGCAAATTATAGTATTGCACTAACCTGAATTAAGGCCATGTGAGGATGATTTCCCTTACTAACCATGATTTCCAGTGAGGTCGCAGTGAGGTCGTTATAATTTACCCAGATATGTGTATGTGTATGTGTATCTATGTATCTATATCTATGTATCTATGTATCTATGTATCTATGTATGTATGTATCTATCTATCTATCTATCTATCTATCTAACTATCTATCTATCTGTGTATCTATGTAATGTAATGTAATGTAATGTAATGGAATGTATTGCAATGTAATGTAATGTAATGCATGCATGCATATATATATATACATATATATATATATGGAGGTTTCTTAAAATGGATCCTCAAAACCATGGGTTTCAATACAAGAAGGGTCTAATGACTTGGATGATTTGGGGTACCCCCATGACCAGTTCGTTTTTTCTATGTTTACCAGAGGCTAATCCCTTTCCCGGAAAATGATCTTCATGGTGGATCATCTTTCTACAGCTGAAGCTTTAATCGGAGAGTGCTATACATAAACTAACATAGCTATTGAAAATGGTCATTTATAGTTGATTTAGCCATTAAAAAAAAAAAAACTCTCCAACGAAACCCTGCTTTAGATCTCCTAAAAAAAGGGGACATTTCCACTGTGGATGACATTTGTGGTGGAGTGATCCAGTTTTTCTCATCTGCGCTCAGCGGCGCGAGAAGCAGCGGCCTTCGGTGTAGTATTTTTGTAGATCTTGATTCCTCCCTTCATGTTCTCCAGAAGATCTCGATCCTCAAAACCTGGCTGCTTCGAAAAAAGGTGATGACGAAAAATGATGGAAAAAACATGACCGAGTGCTTGATGGGGAAAAAATAATGGATACTTATGGTGCTTGTTCTGTTTGAAGTTGGGAAAACCCCAGCATCTCGCGGGAAAAATCATGGTTACCAAGACTTCATGGCCACATGAACATAGAGATCCTAAACATCGTTTTGGATTCAGCAAAATTCAATTTTGGATTCAGCAACGAATTAGAAGTTGTCATCAGTTGTCACCAGCTGAAAAATGAATCATTGATAATCCTCCATGTATTTCGGGGATGTTCCAATAGGTTCCCATATATTTCCCTATGTGTTCCCATTCAAACCTCCAGCATGGACGATGTTTTCCCCATTCAATGGAGCTCAGGCAACACGACTTCGATGAGACGAAACGTTACAACAGTCGACGTGTCATAACAGTTTCTTTAGTTGTCAGCGGGTGGATATATTCATGTACATCTTCATGTCGATATAATATTATATTATATATATATATTATATATTATATATATATGTGCATGTATGTGCATAGATGTACATAATGAACTAAATCAAGATATATGATACACTGAAAAATCTAGTACTACATCCTCTTATATAGCTGGATATAGCTGGATAGTACATGATACTGTGGATGGTTGCAAAACCCTGCATCACCAAAAGGATGGTTGAAACCCATCAAAAATAATGGGATGTTTACCACCGTTTTCAACTGGTGATTCGGATTTCGCAACCATCCACCGTAGTAGCTAAGGAATTACATTTACAGTCAGTTCCATATTACCTATTTTTCCATATTACCATATTTCCATATTTCCATATGTCCACATTTCCCATGTTCTATATAGTACATCTATTTCCGTTCCATATCTATCCATATTTTTAAGAGAATTTCTGGCAGCCAAAGTCTGGAAATTTCAGTTTTATTATTTTTGCATTTAATCATCATTTGTGTTTTCATTTTTTTTCATTTCATTTTCATTATTTTTTCATCTAAAAAATGATCATCATTTTTTTTCATTCTGGTTTGTTCGTTTGGATGCTGATGGTTTTGCTATTCGGTTGGTGGTTCTCTTCTTGTTTTGTTCTTTCTCCAGTCTTTTTCCTTCTGCTTTTTACATACTTGGGGGGAAGGGGAGGGGAGGGGAGGGGAGTCGAGGAAGAGGGGGGGGGGGGGGGGAGGAAGAAGGGAGGGGAGGAAGAGGGGAGAGGAGAGGGAACCCAGCTGGGAAGCTTCCAAGCTACCTGACTAGCCTGACTAGACCCCGGCCTTTGCAAAAAAAAAACAAAAATTGGAAAATTGCAATTTTCCTCGAGTTTTTTTCATTTTGTTATCATTTGTTTATCATTTTTTTATCAGTTTTCATCATTTTTGCTTCCAGTGGTGCAAAAATTCTGCAAAAAATGGAAAATTGCAATTTTCCTCGAGTTTTTTTCATGTTTTTATCATTTTTTTATCATGTTTCATCATTTTTGCTTCCAGTGGTGCAAAAATTTTCCCGAAAAATGGAAAATTGCAATTTTCCTCGAGTTTTTTTCATTTTTTAATCATTTTTTTATAATGTTTCATCATTTTTGCTTCCAGTGGTGCAAAAATTTTCCAAAAAATGGAAAAATTGCAATTTTCCTCGAGTTTTTTCATTTGTTTATCATTTTTTTATCATGTTTCATCATTTTTGCTTCCAGTGGTGCAAAATTTTTCCCGAAAAATGGAAAATTGCAATTTTCCTCGAGTTTTTTTAATTTTTTTATCATTTTTTTTACATTTTTTTATCATGTTTTTATCATTTTTCATGATTTTTGCTTCCAGTGGTGCAAAAATTTTCCAAAAAAAGGAAAATTGCAATGTTCCTCGAGTTTTCTATTTTTTTATCATTTTTCATCATTTTTGCTTCCAGTGGTGCAAAAATTCTGCAAAAAATGGAAAATTTGCAATTTTCCTCGAGTTTTTTCATTTTTTTAATCATTTTTCATCATTTTTGCTTCCAGTGGTGCAAAAATTTTCCCGAAAAATGGAAAATTACAATTTTCCTCGAGTTTTTTCATTTTTTATCATTTTTTTTACATTGTTTTATCATTTTTTGATCATGTTTCATCATTTTTGCTTCCAGTGGTGCAAAAATTTTCCAAAAAATTGAAAATTGCAATTTTCCTCGAGTTTTTTTCATGTTTTTATCATTTTTTTTACATTTTTTTACCATTTGTTTATCATTGTTCATCATTTTTGCTTCCAGTGGTGCAAAACGTTTCCCAAAAAACGGAAAATTGCAATTTTCCTCGGGTTTTTTTCATTTTTTTATCATTTTTTATCATTTTTCATCATTTTTGCTTCCAGTGGTGCAAAAATTTTCAAAAAAAAAGGAAAATTGCAATTTTCCTCGTTTTTTTTCATTTTTTTAATCATGTGTTCATCATTTTTTTACATTTTTTTTACATTTGTTTATCGTTTTTTTTCATTTCCATTTTCTCTTTTCATTTTTTTATCATTTTTTTTTTCATTTCCATTTTCTCTTTTCATTGTTTTATCATTTTTTTTCATTTCCATTTTCTCTTTTCATTTCTTCATCATTTTTTTCATTTTTTATCATTTTTCTCATGTCCATTTTCTCTTTTCATTTTTATCATTTTGTTCATTTCCATTTTCTCTTTTGATGCTTTAGTTGTTTTTTAACTTTTGTATGCTTTTTCTTTCAATTCTTTTTACTTTATGTCATAAGCCTTAGTGTTCCTTCAAGCTCATAACGAATTATGAATTGTAAAAAGTTTTATATACTACTTCCAGGTTTGCTACCTATGACTGACATAGCCTATTTTCATAGCATGGCACCATCTGACCCAAACTAATGGGACCTTGGGCAAAAAGGACTTCAGAAGGTCTCGCGCTCAAAGGCTTTCCAACAGCCCCCGCAGATGCAAAATGGAAATGAAAAAAAATGATAATGAATTTGGAGATGATAAAAAAATGATAATGGTGATGTAAAATAAATGATAACCAAAATGATGATAAAATGAAAAAATAAATATGTTGACTCCCCCCAGGTTGTGGCTCACATATTCTCTTAACCATATTTCATGACATTCAGTCTGGGACATTTCATGACCATGGAAAGAAAAAACAACCGAAGCGTCCCAAAGAGATGACCCAAAAGCACGCATCATCCACGACACAAAACGGTCATCCATGACTTTGATGATCTTAGATGATGACTGGGGGTGCCCCCATGACTTTGGAAACCTACATGACTAACATCTACTGGGTACTAACATCATGTTTGCTGGTCGCTCGGTCTATCCATGTTGATTGAGGCAATGGGATTTTTCTTTGGGTTGATGTTCTATGCATTTTAGATACCAATATACCTCTCAGATTCAGAATGGTAAATCTTGGATGCCAAAAGAACCTCATGTGTAGCTGGTGAATGTACATTTTACCATTGAAATCGCAAAAAGATTACCCTCTGGTAATTTAACATAGCTATTGAAAATCACCATTTTTAATGGGAAAATCCACTATAACTGGCCATTTTCAATAGCTATTTTGACATAACCAGAGGGTATATCAAACGAGTTCCTATCCAACCAGTCGGTTGACCAAGTTTACCTCATCTCCGTGGCCGTTCCATGGACCCGTGGCCGTTTCAAATTCTTCTCGAAAATATGGTGGGCTAAAACCATTCAAATTCCTGCTGATTTATCCCCCAATCTCCTGACTTCAAGGGGGATATCATGGGATGCTCAAAATTGGGTTGTCCCCAACTATCCGAACGATCCGAAGTATCGAAGAAAAGAACTTCAAACAATTTTCATGATTCAAATGAAACTTCAGTTTCTGTTAGTTGTTGGTGTTACGGATTAGCCTCCAGACTAACACAGACCCTCTTAGAAAAAACACCAGTTTTCTTCGTTATTTTAGTGAGTGGTTCAGCAATCTTCCAAGCCCAGGGTCCATGGCAGGGTTTTTCATGCTTTTGGTGAATCCCGGCTGAGTTGATTTTTTTATCCCCCGATCATTCCGTTGAATCCTGGTTGGTATATAAAATTTCCCCTATTGGATTATAATCCCCAATAAAAAAGGGTACCCTCTGGCTAACATAACGAAAATTACCCATTTTTAGTAGGTAAATTACCCATTCCTCGTTCTTGGATGATTGTTTTTTCACAAAAAAATAGGGTAGAAAAATTAGTCCTTCAACTAATCAGAAAAACCAAGCATCATTTTGATATCAATATGTCACGTAACTATCTCAACGAACTAATAAATCCCATTGATAGTCCATAAATCCCATAAATATGTCCCATAATGTCCCATAATGTCCCATAAATTAACCATCATTAATCCCATATGTTCAATGGTTAATTTTTCATCCCATAAAAAGATCACAAAAAAAAAAATCATCAACCAACAGCGCTTTTGATCGCAGCCAAGGAACACTCGGTGTTGTGGGCACCCTGGGAATAGCAGAGATTGACCTGGCGATGTTTGGTCACTGACTGGAAGTCACCAGTTGTTGCTTCAATGATGCTTTGATGATGTTTTCATAGCGTTTAAATGGTGTTTTAATGTTGTTTTTATATGTAAATGCTGGGGATTTGTCAGATGAGAACAGCCCTCCTTTGTGTCATCAGCTCCGTGGCTGGAAAAAAAATGGCCCCAGTTGGTTCGATTTTTAAAGCCCCTTTGTTTCCTACAAACGTACCCTCTGGTAATTTGCTACATAGCTATTGAAAATGACCCAGTCGAAATAGTGGATGTTCCCATTGAAAATGGAGGGTAAATCCTGGCGAAGTTGTTGCTGAAAGCGCTAAATCTTTGCTGGTCAAATATGGATGTGTCTGAAAATAGTGTACCCCTAAACCCAATGGTTTTGCTGATCATTATCCCGTTTTTAAATGGCTATTTCATTGGGAAGATTAACCCTATTTTCAGACAAACCCAAATCTTGATTTCCGGTGACGACTGCTGTTTCAATCCTACTATACTGTGGCTGGATCTAAAGGAAGAGCGTTCAGAAGCGAGCATGAAATCTGACGCCTGCCCCAGCATCCCATGAAAATCCATGTCGAACTTGAGCAAAACAAAGGGATTCAGCATGAGATCTTGGATTCTGAAGCATCTCAACTCATCTAAAATCCTGGTTTTTTCACAATCCAAAATGCTGATTTTTATGCTGAAAACAGGGAGATTCCACTAAGACAATCTACGATTTTTTCTGAATCTCAGGTCCAAATGAGTTGGGATCACAGTCTGGTTCTCATCTTGCAAGTTGATGCCCGGGCGGATCGGAAAGTTCTTCAAGTAGTGCGGTTGGGCGTTGCTGAGGACCATCGAATTGAACAACACCTGCAGTTTCGGTTGTGGGACAAAGCCAGAAGCAACCAGTTTCGAATAGGTGCCAAGGGACCATGTGGAAATGCGGCAAACCGATTTCCAAGTTGATGGGATGTAATATGAAGTAAGTACTGAGTTGGAAACAATGTGTTGTCATCCACTTCTCTTTGCGGCTTGATGGTACACAAAGTAGATTGAATCCGCCCGCACCGAAGGTGCTGGGGCGTGATCTTCCGGATGGCACTCGTAAAAAGGTTACAGGTTTACCTGGGGGGGGGGGGCCATTATTCGTCCAAAACCTCCTGTTTTTGATAGGTCGTGACGCTCGCCTTCAAAAAACACTGTAAAAAACAGTACGGAAGACACCTGTTCGTGAACGCGCCCGTCCAAAATCGGCAAGCGAAAAGTGAAAAAAACCCGTGTTTTTCAACTTTTTGACCTCAATTTTTTGGTTTGCAACATCTTTTTTTGCGGTTCCGCAGGTGGCCGGGCCCGGAGGCGGATTTTTGAGTTTTTGGACCCGTTTTCGGACTGATTTTCGTCGTTTTGTGATAGCAGAAACACTGGTTTTTACAGTGTTTTTCTGTTTTCTGCATGCTTGACGGCTAGCTTCAAAACTTCCAAAAACCTCGTAAATTACGCTGTTTTATGTTACGGTGTGAATGAAAACATCGTAAATACCAGTGTTTTTTGACGTTGGTTAAAAAACACTGTAAATTACAGTGTTTTTGGCCACCTGACCCTCAAAAACCATGGTATTTGCAGTGGTTTCTGGTATTTGCAGTGGTTTCTGCTTCTCACCGCGCAAAAACACTGTAAATAACAGCAATTTCGCCGTTTTTTCATGTTTTTCGTTATTTTTTGAACTGTGTTGGTCCGCTATACATGGCTATCAAATTCTTCGTGTTTTTTTTTCCGACAATCGGTACTTTCGGATGATTTTGGTCTCAATGGCCGACATCATTGGCAGTTACGAGCGGCTGCCCAACGATGCGGTGCGGGCGGTTGCCGTCGCGAAGCGACGTGAATTAAAACTACAGTTGGATTTGTCCAAAATCAAGGTACGCTAAAATCACATGGTAAAATCATCCATTTCCCCATTCACATATGTGTACTGTAATGATTAAGTCCCATGTTGTTGTTTCACATACATACATGGGGATGGGTCAAAACCTATGAAATTACCATGTGTCTGCGGGAATAACCATCCATTAACTAGCTATTCTAGGCTACCTAGGGGACCAGGGTTTTGACTCATAACCATATATAATATTATATATATATATACAGTAAATCTATATATATATACATATATATACTTGGTGGCTCATCCCACGAATCGTAAGTGGGTTAGTAAAACCCCCAGTTATTTGCATGGGATAAGTAACTAAGTAGAGTTCATCCACTCATTTTACCTGGCGTTTTTCATATCTCCAATGTGTCCCATGTCTTTTTCCGAAAAAAAAAAAAACACCATTTTGGGGCGCAGAAGAAGGCTGCCACCACCGGGCCCCACCGTTCCAAACCACCCGGGGCCCGGCACCGATTCGGGGTTCAAGGGCCGCGTGCAGCGGGACTTTTGGAAGGACAGCAGCTGAGTGAAGTTCTTCAGCATCAGCTCCAGGGGTTTGGTGAAATAGTTCTCCACCTGTCCTGGCGTCTAGCTGAAAATTTCGAAAAAAAAAACGATGATGTATAACCATCTATAACCAATGTATAACCATCTATAACCAGGTGATATATATATATATATATATATGGGTAATAAGTCTAGGTTTGTTGCGATCATTGGATTGTTGTAGATGATATAGGTGCTTGTAGATGATTTTTTAGGTTGTAGATGATTACTGGTTGGTGGTTGACCTACCCCTCCGAAAAATATGAGTTCGTCAGTTGGGATGATGAAATTCCCAATATATGGGAAAATAAAATTCATGTTCCAAACCACCAACCAGATATATATTTGTAAATGGCCATTTTCAATAGCTATGTTAGTTTACCAGAGGGTATAGGTGGTTATAAATGATTATTGATGATTATGGCCGCAATAGTTGACATTCTTTGTTGTTAAGGTAAACTCAATGCCATAAACCATCCAATAAATCAACCATGACGGCGGCGGGTCATTTTACAAACATCATCCCTTTACCTGCCAGGTTGGGAACCGGTGATATGGAAAAAAAGAAGTTATACTATAACAACTACGGTAATGGGAATACAAAGGGATGGAAAACCAAGTGGATAGTTCACGTAGGCATCCTGGTATCCGCCACGCTAATCTACCTTGACATGGCTGGAAACTCTCCCGCCACTTCATGGAGCTTCTTTTGTGAATGCGAGAATCATTTACCCTCTGGTAATTTAACATAGCTATTGAAAATGGCCATTTATAGTGGATTTTCCCATTGAAAATGGTGATTTTCAATAGCTATGTTAGTTTACCAGAGGGTACAAATGGTGGATTGTCCATTGCCACATCTCTGCAGTGTATATCCCAATCAATGGACAGTTCTTTTGGTAAAAATAGAGGGGCCAGTTTGGTATGCCATATATCTGGGTAAATGATAATATTTCTTGTTTTTTTTCCGGCCATGGTCGCTAAAGCGTCCGTGGGCCGGCACTGCGACAGCTTAAAATTGTCGTGCGAGAGCCATTTGGTGGATTCGCCTGTTTTGCTCGTCCGTGTTTAAATAGTCCGTCCATCCGTTCGTAAGTTTGTTCCAAATATGTTTATGGGTGAAGTGGCGCCATTGTTGCCTAGGCGCTCCTACCCTCCTTTTACCAATCGGATATGCGTTTGCTGATTGAGGAGAATAAACTACTTGTCTCATTGGGTCCGAGTCTGTTGCTCTCAAAAGGTGTCCAGATAGTTTAACTCGTTTGTCCAAAAGAAGTTCGGAGAAAAGTTTCACTTCGTGCCCAGCTTTTTCGGAAGCCATTCTGAGTACAAATTCGTTGGTGTTTCTTCTGTTAACAAATGTGGGCTCTAGATTTAATATAGATCTAAGCCCCCGAAGTTGAAACGCGTTAATCTTGTTTAGCATTGCCTGTGTCAAGTGCACGGTTTCAAGACCATAAATCAGTTTGTTTTGAATGACAGCCTGATAAACGCGTAGTCTCCAACCAACAGTGCAATTGGATGCTTTCCAAAAAGGTTTTAATTTGGTCCAAGCAGCCATCGTCTGCTGCATTCTGTATCCGATTTCCTGTCTCATGTTCATACTTCGTGTGATATGATGTCCTAAGTATGTTGTTTCAGTGCATCTACAAAGTTTGGTCCCATCTGCGAATCTGAGATTATTGTTCCCATTCATAGCGATATAGGAACACTTGCCTCTGTTCAATTTAAGGCCAAACTGCAGTGAAACCCGTTCAACAGCCCAGAGAATTCTATTGGCAGAATAAGTATTGGTGGCTAGGAGTACAGTATCATCGGCATAGTAAATTCGATCGAAGCTGATACCTGGCTTTCTGGTTCCTAAAGTGCGTCTGTCTAGGTGGTAATTAACATCATTATCAATCACGCTCATGACCAGAACAAATAAGTAAGGCGATAAAGGACATCCTTGACGTATACCTGACCTTTGGCGTTTGGGCAACGACTTACCAAATTCGTCTTCAACGAAGAAACAGGGGTTACGGTAGCAGTTTTTGATGACTTGAATGAAATGGTCGTGAATTCCAAGCCTGTTTAACGCTATGTAAAGTTTGTCGTGCTGTACCTTATCGAAAGCTTGTTTCCAGTCAAGGAAAGTTATAATAAGATTTGAACCCTGTTGTTCTGCGATATCTTGCATACGCCTAGTCAAAAACAGTGCATGCGAGGTACTTCTAGATGGCCTAAACCCATACTGTGTTTGCGTTAACGTGTCCTCTAATACCACCTGAAGCCTCTGCCGTATCAGAATCATGTAAAGCTTGTAGAAAGAATTTAACAATGATATAGGTCTGTAGTTCGCTGGATCGTCTGTATTTCCTTTCTTATAGATGGGCACCACGCGAGCAAAAAAGAGATCTTCAGGGGCATATTGGTTACTCCACCATAAGTTCACAAGACGGAGAAACCAAGTTTTGTTTTCAGAGTTCAACCAAGAGAAAAGCTCCATTATAACATTGTCCGGTCCCGGTTGCTTGTTCTTTTTGGAAGAAGACAAAGCAGCGTCAAACTCTGTCATAGTAAACGGTCTCAAGTCAAACAAATGTCTGAAGTCCTGTATTCGGTCCGTCCGGTCAACAAGTGTGTTGTTGTCATTTGTCCAGTGTTTGTCCTGAAGATAAGTGGCAATTGCTTCTGCCCTATTACGCGGCGCTACATATTCTCCTTGGAGATCCTTCATGTGGATGAACCTTGGCTGTTGTTCTTTTTCAATTTTTTAACACCCGTCCACTTTTCTCTTTGGTCCGGAATTTCTCTAATAGAATCAAAAACAGCACGTCTTTTGTCTCGCCTAGCTAGATTCTTGATTTTATTTGACAGTTCCTGAACAACTCCAAGGTTCCCACTTTCATGCGCCTGTTGTCTTTCAACAATTTTCTGCCAAGTTTCTTGTGATAAATATTCTTGCCTTTGATTTTGGTCAATTTTGGTTAAGGTTTGTTTTGCAGTCTCTATGATACAATTGGAGATTTCACTCCATGCAGTTTCTGAATTCATCACCAAATTGTTGAGTCTCTGTGTCAGCAATTCATTGTAATGTACAAATTCTGCTTGCGTCGGTTGCCGAAATTTAGGGGCCCTTGATTTGCTATTTTTATCAGCAACCAATCTTACACCAACCTTAGCTTCAACAATATAATGATCAGAAGGAAAAAAAATGTCAGTTCTGGCTGAGACATCCCTGCAATTTTTCTGCCATTTTTCGGCAACCAACCAGTAGTCAAGCTGTGCATACTTCCGAGGTGTCCATTCCGGACCATGTTCAGTTGTGTTCTCGCGAAAAGTACAGTAGTTCATCGCTTGTTTTCTAAAACAAGTGTTCAAAATTCTGAGGCCGTCCTGTAGACAATAATTTACGAAAAGAGACCTATTTTCCAAGGTGTAATCACTAACTTGTTCTAAATACTCACAGCCTCTTCCGAAAATATATGGTCCCATGGCTGGTTCCTCAGATTGGTATCTGTGGTGAAGCCTGGCGTTAAAATCACCGCCAAGAAAGTGTATGCCTTTGGCTTTTCTGGCATGTGCTTGTACTTCATCATAGAACTTATTTTTCTTCTCTGTATCATGTCCACTGTGTGGCGCATAACAGGAGCTAAAACACAGATTGCGACCCTTCGATCTCAGACTGATTGATATGAGTCTGCCCGAAATTTGCTTGACATCATAGATAAAATGTTTCAGTTGGGTTGACACGACGATACCAACTCCTGCTCTCTCAGTCTGTACAGCATCTCGCGGTGAAACGTCTGTGCTGAAAAAGAAATCATATCCTTGGACGGTTTCCACGCTTTTCTTGTTATGGTTGGTTTCTTGAAGCAACAAAAGATCATAACATTCTTTCTTCATGATGTCAACAAGGAGCCTCTTTTTAACGTACCCGTTTTCTCCAGATAACCCTCTTACGTTCAGCGTGGCAACCTTCAGTGGCCGATGATATCTGAGTTTGAAAGTCCTTTTTTTTTTGTCCGTTTGGTTTGGGTTTTTAAATTCTTGAAACAGGCTCTTTCGCGCACTTCTGTCCAGCATGGCTGACTTCGAAAAAGCATGCTGGTTTTTGCACTGTCGCAAGTGCCGTTCAGGGGCTATTGGTTTAGCCACAAACTGGTGATACCAAGCTTTGAATTGTCGAAATTGTCGCCGGTTCGACCGCCTACGATTTTGTCTGGTTAGAATCCTATTGTTATTGCTACTGAAACTACGCAGGCCTCTGTTAGTATTTCTTGCTCGAGTAGTATTAGCCCCTGTGGATGACTTCGTTTGTCTCCGCTGAAGATGAAAACACCCCCGCGGCTGATCCGGCTCACCTCCTGAAGGTGAAGAACCTAGGATCGATTTTACCTTACCTGTCTGTTTGGCTTCCTCTGATTTAGAAACGACTTTAAAAACGACTTTTTTAGTTGGATTTGATGGATGGACTAGTCACAGTCCATTTGCATCTTCCGCTGCGGCGGCTTGACCATGTTCCATTACTCCCTTGTCATATTTCCAATCCTTTACCTCAGCCAGTTTATAGTCAAAGGGGAAATCGCCAATTTCTGTGTCAAAGTGTTTGCTTTTACTTTCGCCTTTGCCTTTTCCTTTTCCGGCTGCGCGCGATGTACCGCCCATTCTCACAAGCTCCTTGGCTTCTGACCAGTGGTTCCGGACCGCATCATACACCATGGCATCCAGATACACCGTGGCGAGGACGTCTTTTACGCTATAGTGCACCCAAACGTAAGTGTAGTACTCATCATACACGGCATTTTGTCCCCACCAAGGTTTCAGTTTGGACATGTCCAATTGCAATGTGCCATCTTCCACTGCAAGGTCCATTGCTTTCATGCTAATTTTCAACGGTTCTCCTTTGATTCTGTCCCATAGTGCTACCTGGGGTCTCATTTTGATTGTCGAACTTGTGGGTTGTCCATCCTTGTAGAAGTACAACTGGGTCTTTGGCGTGATGTAGTTGTCTTTGTACCATTTGTCCAGCTGAGTCCTCATCCATGATTGCGGGAATGTAATGACTGTCATTGGGGATAGCTCTCCTGGCTTGGTCGCGTGGGACATATAGTAGCTACCTGCTTCGATTCCGGCATTCTGAATGCACCATGCAAGGAAGGAAGCTCTCTGTGACGCTGTGGCATCAGATGGCCAACCAACTACACATTCTTCTTTCGATGCTTTGTCTCTTTGGTCTTTCACTTGATTTTTGAGTGCCCACAGTTGTTGTTTCCTAAATGCCCACTGATCCTCATTCAAGTCGTACATCTTCTCTTTCAGTTCGTTCATGGAAATCTGGAGTTCCTTCACTTTCTCTGTCACTGTCTCCATCTGTATGTCTACTACCTCCTGCATTGCTTCTCTCATAGCCTTCTTATCTTCTTTTGGTCTCATTGGTGTTTTTTCATTGGTGCCAGCTCTGATTGGTGTTTTGGTGTCTGGCAAAGTACCTGCCTTCCATTGTCTCTTGGCCTTTGCCTTTTTGGCGGTAGGTTCTTCTGCATCTAGATCTGATTCCAGGGATCGACGAGTGTTTTCCCTGGGAGCCTCCGCCATGTTGGAAGCTATCTTTCTATGTGATCCTAGTCATCCTGAGCCTAATTTTTTTTTTCACTAACCTGAAATAAGGCTATATTGGGATAATGTCTCTTACTAACCATGATTTCCAGTGAGGTCGCAGTGAGGTCGTTATAATTTGCCCAGATACCATATATCATCATTTACCTTTAAAGGGGTTTGTCCAAAGCCCTCTATTCATCAACCAACCAATGGGAAAAGGACTTTTCAATGAATCCCCGTTTGGTTATGACTAACGTAGCGAACTGGAAAATCACCAGTTTTCATGACGGTAAATCATCATGTTTATCCCCTATCAATGGTCCATTTTCCATAATTAGCTATGTTACAAATTACCAGAGGGTATAAATTTATAAACTATACTAACTATAAATAGTATGGTTACTACTATAAATTTATATTTCCAGTTCGCTATGTAGCAAATAGCCAGAGGGTATCCCAATTCTGGTTAAAAAATGTGTGTCCCATGGCCCCTGATGGTTGGAAAATCCCACCCTATGTGACGTGTCACGTCTGGCAGGTCCAGGTCCAGGTCGTGATGCGAATTTCCACCATGTGTTGTGTTGGAAAAACACCATGGTTTTTTTCATGGCGAAACCACCATGAACCCTCACCTTGGTGATATAACATGATAGAACCCCATTCTATCCCAACTCTATCCCCACGCTGTCCTACGATTTTCGGCAAAGAAGTCCATCCATTTGTTTCATGCTTATTAAAAGCCTAAAATTTCTGTCGCATATCACACTCATGGTGAAATCCATGGTGAAATCCATGGTGAAATCCATGGTGAAATCCATGGTGAAATCCATGGTGAAAGCCATGGTGAAAGCTGGGCAAACCCGCACCTTGACCCGCTACGATGGCGCCCTTGTCGTTGAGTCCAAAGTAGTGCTCGCAGTTTTGCACATGGACTCCTAAAAAAAAGTGAGCGGAGTTCACCCATGGCGATTCTTTGCAAAAGTTGAAACATATAATATATATATACCCTCTGGTTATTTAACATAGCCACGGTATAGATGGCCCATAGAAATAGATGATTTCCCCAGCTATAAACCTCCATTTATTTTCGGGATTTTCCATGGCTATGTTAAATTACCAGAGGGTATATATATATATATAACATAATATAATATAACATTATAAAACATATACATATATCATATCATATCATATCATATCTAATTATGTATATCAGGCTGAAGTATGGTAATTCAGTCACCTGAAAATATAGCTGAAATGTTGGGCCATTTGGAGATGATTCCCCTTATATAAACCATCATGCAAGTGACGTCACAGTGAGGTCTCTATAATCTATCCAGATGGATGTTTGAAAAAACAGGGGCAACTTGTCATGCAAAAATCTGAGCATAGCTGCTCGGTTTTTCACCATGACATCTTGACTTACTGGTGCTTAGTAGGGAATTTTCGGGAATGATCCATAATCACTAGTAATAATCATCCCAGCAACCCCCAGCAACCCATCCAGCAACCCTACGTTTAGCACCAGTAAGTTGATATTTTACTATAAACAATTGCATACATATGGAGATTTGACTCTGGAACTTGGCGGAAACACACTTCTACACTTCAGGGTCGGAAATCATTGGAATGGGAGATGTAGCCCAAAAAAATGGAGTATATTATATAGTATATTATTATATAACCAACCATTAACCATTAACGTCATTCACCAACCATTCAGCATGCAGTTCCTGGAACATATAACCGGAGACTTGGATATGGACACAGGAATTGTGGATGGTCAATAGACAGATAGACAGACAGGTCACCAAACAACATCAAACAACCGAAGATAGATAATGATAGATAGATTCTCAGATAGAATCAGCGAGGTATATGGAAAATAGGTATATGGATATATCTTGTATCTATCTGGTATCTATCTGGTATATCTGGTATATCTCAAATTTTATGAGATAGGATAAGCGAGGTATATGGAAAATAGCCCTCCTTAAGACTTACTTCAATGACTTTACTTGCAAAGCCTTCATGTTTCAAGCTCTTCCGCCATGGTCCCAAATGAGTATCAAAAATATTCACTACCAAAATGTGGGAAAAAAAAATAACATGGGAAAATCAACATATAACAGCTATTTTAATAGGGAAAATATGGAAAAATGTACCAAGTCACAACTAAAACATACTAACGATTGCCACTAAAAGGGGTATATCGGTATATCCGAGCTTTTCTTATTCATGTCTCGTTTGAATGGGAAACATGATGATAAATAAAGCAGATCCTCCACTTCTAAAAGGCATCTCACTAGAGAAACGAGTTACCCTCCAGTAAATCTGCCATGTGTAGGACCAGTTCCCAGGAAACCCCCATAGCTTTCCATCGCTTTCCGTATGTTTACTAGAGGATTTCGTCTGGATCTCAGCTTCAAAGCTGCAAATAATGTGTTCCAAACAGCGATCGAAAAAGGTTTTAATGTGGATGGTCTAAGCAGATATGTTCATACCAACATGTTCTATCATGTTGATTTCTATCAACACATTCGAGAAAACCTTGATTTTCTGGACGCTCCAGGGATGGGATTTCTCGGTTCATCCCATTTCAGTGCCAGGTTCCCATGTCTAAGTGCAGACCCTCACCGTAGCCCATCATTTTCCGACCATTTGAAACATAAGAAAACCTCAAGATTGATGGGAACCATGATTATCTACACATATCCAATTAATTTCCTATAATGAATTCCATTAATACAACCATCAGTTTGCTCTACAAAAACAGAAGTTTCCTAGTAATCCCCTTGTTTTGAATCACAAGTGAGTCTCTGAGTATCATGCAGAACCACAATTTTCCGATCAAAAACATATTACCATCTGGTAATTTAACAGTTCGCCATGGAAAGTCACCATGCTATTGATAGGGAAACCATCTATAAATGGGCCATTTTCCATGGCTATGTTAAATAACCAAAGGGTAATAGCTCTATGTCTACCTTGATCATCTCAAGAGATGATGCAAGATTTAAAAAGCGCCTATGTGTATATGTTGGATCAGTAACCATATTATCATAATTTTCCGATAAAGACATATTAAAACCTCGTTTTCCAATTCCCCTGTTTTTGTTCTGATCTTTTCATCATCTCTTTTCGTCGCGGCAAGCAAAAACACCGCGCCTCGCGACATGGTCTCCAGCGAAGGCACAAAGCGTTGCAGCACCACCACATCATCACCTGAAACCATGAGTGAACAATGATGGGAAACAGTGATGGTGATGGTGATGGTGATGATGATGCTGATGATGATGATGATGATGATGATGCTGATGATGATGGTGATGATGCTGATGCTGATGCTGATGATGATGATGATGGTGATGATGATGATGATGATGATGATGATGCTGATGCTGATGCTGATGATGATGATGATGATGATGATGCTGATGATGATGGTGATGATGCTGATGCTGATGCTGATGCTGATGATGATGATGATGATGATGATGATGATGATGATGCTGACGCTGATGATGATGATGATGGTGATGATGATGCTGATGCTGATGATGATGATGATGATACAATGTGGGAGTTCCCATTGTTATGAGATTCTGATTGATTTCCCATCATGATTGATTTTCTTGAGCACATTTCGATGTCCCAAGAAAAATTCAGGAAATCGATCAGCTCATATCAGCAGTAAACAACGTTTCGGTCCTCCATGTCTAGAACGCATTTCACTAGGGAAACTAGTTGCCCTCGCTATGGAAACGCCATTTAGTCCAATGGTTTTACCTAAAAAAAAATGGTGAAAAATATCATGGTTCCAAAGATAAATGATGGGATCCATCAATGATGAGTTAATATGGGATCCATCAATGATGAGTTAATATGTTTCCAAATATTCATGAAAATAACACATTTATAGATGATTATAGATTATTAATTGTAGATGATTCAACTGTTGAAAAAAATGGTGACTTTCCAGAGCTACGAAGTAATTAGTTAAACTTGACAAGAACTTGCCACATGATGAGTCAATATAAATTGATTTTAGTTACTCATCTTAACTTGACTAAAACTTCCCCAGTCCAATGATGAGTTAATATGTTTCCCAGAACTAATGATGGGATAGATCAGAATGCAATAATATGCACTACCTAAATTTATGACACCGGCTTCAACAGAGAAAGTTGATTTTAGCCAGAAAAAAAAAATATACAGGAAGAATCACCAGAAAAATCAAATAAAAACAAGAAAGAAAACATGCAAGTAAATCACAACCTGGATTTTCCCAGGTTTTTTGATTAGTTCTTGTTTATTTTCTTTGTTCTTTGTGTGATTTTGGTTTTCTAGTTAGTTGTTTCTGTTTGCTCTGGCTTTGTTTTGTTTTTCCTTAATAAAACCCTATAGTATCTGCGCTGTTGGAGTCATAAACTCAAATGTTGGGGAACGAAGAATCATCAATGATGAATTAATTATTAGTATGTTAGTTAACAATGATAGTTATACTTGATAGTTTAGCAAATTTCAGCAATTAAAATAAAACTACACAAGTGTAACAATGAACATATTATCATTATATTATGAAACATAGTGACAATGAATGTTAGTTACTATGGCTCACATTGGCTGTTAACAAATAAACCAACTAATCATGGTTAAGATCTCGTTCAGTCCACGCTGATGAGTTGAGACTTAAGCCATGATTATCCGGAAGCCATTGTGAAATTTTCATTGTTCCTGGTTACCCTCCGGTAAACTAACATAGGTATTGAAAATGGCCATATATAGTGGAATTACCCATTGAAAATGGTGATTTTCCATAGCAAAATGTTAGTTTACCAGAGGGTATAACCATTGTGATTTGTTGAGAACTCCATGATGATCCATGGTCAAAATCAATAGCCATTAGTACTTCGTCCGGACGATTTGGGGATCCATCATTCATGATATTTAGTATCAGCTTGCTGATGTGAATTGAGGATAGTGATAATTCTTGGTTCTCCAGTTTTTCAACGCTAGTGCGAATAAATATCTGTTGTGTAGCGATAAAACATCCCATTTCTGGTTGAACATGGTGATTTTCCAGTTGTTTCACTGGTTGGTGGTTTGAAACCCTCTGAAAAATATGAAAGTCAACCAGATAATTAATGGAAATAGTTGACATACCTCTTCAAAATTGTGATTTTCCATAGTGATTCTAAGAAATGAATGGGGATTCATGGGTATTTCAACCAGTTCACGTTTTTTTTCCAGCCTTCTCCAAGGTTTCATAGTTTGTTCCCCTTGAAATTTTCAGTTTCTTCAAGTTTCTCCGAGGTCGTTCCAGTTGGTTTTTTTGCACGTTTCCAACCTTTTTCCAATGGGTTTTTTCCATTTTTTCCAGGTCTTCATAGGTTTTCTAGCCGTTTCCCCATGTTTTCCCATCTTTTTCCTAGATGTTCCTAAGTTTTTCTGTGGTTTCCCATCGTTTTCCTACGGTTTTTCCACGTTTTTCCATTGTTTTCCTAGATCTTCCTAGGTTTTCCATGGTTTCCCATCGTTTTCCTAGATTTCCCTAGGGTTTTTCCATGTTTTTCCATCGTCTTCTTAGATTTTCCTACAGTTTTTCCATCGTTTTTCCTAGATTTTCCTAGGTTTTTCCAGCCACTTCCAGGCCCCGACCTTTCCCACACTCGGGCCGAGCCACGTAGGCGGATGGCCGCCTTGGGCGGCACGGGGTCGGCGATCTGCGCCAGGCGCCAGCAGCGCCTGAGAGCTTCCCACTGCCTCGCGAGGCGGCGAGGCAAAATTTGAGTGGTTACAATAATATAATGGAAATAACAATATACAATAGTGTATGATGGGAATAACAATTGTATGTTATAATAGTTATAATATACAATAGTGTATGACTATAATAGATATATAAATAGTTATATGAACACTATTTGTTGTCATATTTACATACCAACTATATTGTATAACACTTATATAGTTGGTATATAAATATGACAACAATGTAAAATCAATGGAAATAATTGAATTTTCCATAGCTGTGGATAACAACAATAGTGTATCATAATACTAGTGGTTATGTTATAATATGTTATAATAACAATAGTGTATCGAATTATAATGGATAATCCAATTATAATGGTATATCAGTGGATTATAATTGAAATAATAGTGGGTAATAATGGATAGTAATGGATAATGACAGTGTAATTGGTGGATTATAATTGGTATAACAGTGTATTGATTGATGTATAGATTAATTAATTAGTGTATAAATTATGGAAATGATAATTAGTGGATTAATTAATGGATTATCAAAGTGGATTATACTAACAAGTGTATTAATTAATGGATAATAGTTACAATAATATAATGGAAATAGTGTTAATGAATTAGTGTATTATAAACCAACTATTCAAAAATAAATAAATACTAATAATAATAATAGGGTATAATTCGTGGAAATAGTTGATATCTACCTATAGGTATTAATGGGATTATTATTGTGTACAACAATATTCTTTATAACCATAGTAATAGTTAAACAACCATTATGAATATTCATATTATGAAAATTACAATAACAATTAGTTGGTATATAAATATAACAACAGTGTATAATCAATGGAAATAATTGATTTTCCATAGTTGTTCTAAGAAATTAATGAGGATTCATGGGAATTTCATAACAATAGTGTATGGTGGGAATAATAATTGTGTACAACAATGTTAGAATGTTATAATAACAATAGCGTGTGATTGTAATAATATGATAATAACAATAGTGTATGACTAATGTGGGAATAGTTGATGGAACTATAACAATGTAAAACAGTGCGTATACTAATAATATGAAATTTCATGGGAATTATCATAACAATAGTGTATGATACTTAGTTGGATTATACTTACATGAATCCTCCAGGATGGGGCCGATTTTAGTTAGTTGATTTATAACTGGTTGGTGGTATACATACCCCATCTGACAAATATTAGTCAGTTGGGATGTTTATTCCCAATATATGGAAAAATAAAAAAAATGTTCCAAACCACCAACCATAATTATAATAATAGTGTATAATTAATGGAAATAGTTGATATACCTCTTCAAATTTGTGATGTTCCATAGTTCTTCTAGGAAATGAATGAGGATTCATGGCTATTTCACCGGCTGCATGGCCAAGTGGCTATAACCCTATTTTACAACAATAGTTGCTAATATCAATGGATTGGTTAAATAAACCCATGATTAATCCATTTACATCAAGTCACTATTCACCCAAAAATGTGAAGCCATTACCCTCTGGTAATTTGTTACATAGCTATTGAGAATGGCCATTAGTTGATTTTCCTCTTCAAAATGGGGATGTTCCATGGTTATTCTGAATTGGGCAAAGGTTGGTACTTGGGAAATTTTACAGGTAAGCCTCATATTTAATGGGAAAATCGGTGGTTTCCAGTTAAGATTTTCCCTTCAACCAATCCATTGATAATAGTATTGCAATACTAAGCCGTATGAACAACCAATAGATTTAAGAAAGGAATGTAAATATTTATAGCGGCTAGATGTTAATGTAGTCCAACAATAAAGCCGTATTAGTGGGAAAGGTATATCAATTAACCCATGGAAAGTGGTTAATCCATCTCGCCGCGCCTCCCATGACTGCGCGCACGCTGCATGGCCCTCCAAAGTGCCGTGCCCAAGGACTTCCCCCAGGCAGAGATCTGCTCCCTGACGTCGCCGTGCCGCAAAAAAGAAGGAGAAAGATGAGGAAAAACTGGGGGAAACTATGAGAAAATATGGGAAAACTGCAGGATAACTATTGGAAAACTGTGGGAAAACTATGGGAAAACCAGAAAATCTGGGGGAAGAGATGAGAAAATATGTGAAGAGATGGAACATGGAATCAGAAAATTCATGTGAGAAAATCTAAGAAACAGTTTCTGTCTAAACATCTGAGGGACATAAAGAAAATCTAGGAAATTCCCACGAAAATACAAAATATGGAAGCATGTGGGACAATTTTGGAACATATTGGAAAGTGGATGCTTTTAGACATTGGAAAATCCTGGAAAATTCTGGTCGTGAAGATGGATTCAGTGTGGCAAATGTACGATTAACTTATAGACCGTCAAGTGCCTCATTCAAATGGGTATGTGACCTGAAACAAAATGGTACACAACAGATTAACCATGTGAAGTCATCGAAAATCTGTGGCGGATGTCGCGCCAACAAATCCATACCCCACTAACCCTGGTTTCTCCCATGAACAATCACAGTCCAGAAATGATTGGTCATTTGAACAATACAATATGACCGTGGTAATTTCACATTTTCACACAGCTATGGAAAGATAGTCCATTTATAGATGATGGTAGATGATGCTAGATGATGTACCATTAAAAATGGCGAAATTCTCCACAGAAAACGAGGCTTCACACAGGCTCGGCCATGGCACATCATCATTGCATAGCGGGGATCAAACCGGTAATCTGCAGGAACGAAGGGGTCGAAGATCACCGTCATGTTCCTTGACGTTTGATTACCAAAGGGCAAGGAAAAATGTGCAGGAAACCCCGGAAACACCGACAAAATTGGTGGTAAAAGCCATAGTTTCCCATAGATTCCCAAGAACCATTCACAAACAATTACCATTGTAACATAGCCATGGAAAATCACCATTTATAATAGGTAAACCATCTATTTCTATGGGCCATCTATACCATGGCTATGTTAAATAACCAGAGGGTAATCTGGAATCTGGATACATTATAAGAATTCACGAATCTGAAAAGTTCCGCCACCAATCTTCCTTCCAGCCCGTGCCCCGCAAATGAAAAGTTCTGCCATACTGCCATACCCCCAATCCCATATGCTTCCCATACTATTGGGGTTTGTTATGGGAGCACTATGGGAGTAGTATGGGAATAGGAGTGCAATCATTGGAAGTGCGTTCCAGTTATACTTGGATATATCTGGGTAAATTATAATATTTCACTAACCTGAATTAAGGCCATTTGGGGATGATTTCCCTTATTAACTATGATTCCAGTGAGGTCACAGTGAGGTCGTTATAATTTACCCAGATATATAACTCTAAGTCTAGTAGTTATAGGGGCCCCAGATCCAGCGGATGAAATTCCCATGCTTTTACCCACGAAAGTAACCTCAACTGCACCCACCGTATCATTGGAGGTCCAAAAATCCACCAAAATTCGGATGATCCCATGGGTTCTCCCACATATCAGTGGCTTATTTTTTCGTATGCTCCCATCAGCCGGTGATACCCTCTGGTAAACTAACATAATTAGCTATTGAAAATGACCATAGAAATAGTGAGTTTTCCCATTCAAAATGGTGATTTTCCATAGTTTTTTGTATGTTTACCAGAGGGTAGATCCGTTGGATGATCCACAATCAATTGGAAAACTACCCAGGCTCTTGGGAAAAAGCTCCAGCGTCTCATTGAGGCTCTCGAATTCGCCCGTCAAGATGGTGTATTGGCCACCACCCGTGTGGGACTCGGGCGATAGATGGATAGATGGACACCAGAGTTCCAAATGGGGGAGTTGGCCACGCAAAAAAAGTGGCCGGGATGATCTTTTTTTTGGATAAAATGGTTTTGAGATGGGGAGATGGGCAAAATCCCAGTGAGTTTCACTACCGAATTTTGAATATTTTGGTTTCCTAAGCATATCTTACCTTCTGGTAAATTAACAGTTCGACCCTGGCAGTCATCAGGGTTGGAAGATTCGTTTCCATTAAAACTAGGCAAAAAATTCAGGGTCTGTGTTCATTTACCAGAGGCTATCATATTTTGGGTCAGGGACTTCGAGGCTGCGGTAGATCCGCCTGCAAATATCAAGGTAAAGAAACACAACTTTAGTCGGGGAAACTCCCATATCTGGTACACTAGGCTAGTTCATGCTAGTTCCTTCAAAAATACTAAGATCATCTAGTGACTCTAGTGCGGAAGACACTATACTTAACCCCAATCTTTATGAAGGTTTAATTGTTTCAATAAATCATGTCAAAACAATGAGTTCACGACTGTAGCGGGATTGACCCAATACACAATTGGATAGAATGAAGTGGCAATTGCCAGCCAAGAATTGGTTGGTACAAAAGGTCACAATAGCATGCGCTCCAATCGTTTGGTCACCTAGTGGATATGTCACAATCTTAGTTAGTCAGGGTTATATGTTGATGATGAATTGATATACAAAAAACAACTTTGGTGGTGAAAAAACTCTGTTCCAGTAGGTTATCTAAATATGTGTGTCTATCTATATCTATGCACATCTGTCTCTGTCTCACTACATCTCTATATCACTCTCTACATCTACTTATGGATATATATATATGTACATACATCGACCACTACCTATCTTTTGCTCTAAACATATAGAGTGTGTATATATATATACAGATAGATATACATATGGATACATGACCAGATGATTGATAGATAGACAACAGTACTAGATATCTTCTAGATATATCATGATGTACTATAAATGAACAGTCTATCTATATCATTCATTCCATAAAAACACACTTCACTGCACAATCATCTATAATTCGATCCTTCTATGTATACAAATATATATATATATGATATCCCCAATGATATTTTCTATCCCGATTGTTGTTGGTTGACTCTCCAAATTCATCTCCATTCCTGGTGGTTACATATATCACGATTTGTTCATCGATAATTCCAATTAATTCCCACGAAATCTGCATGCCGGTGAAATCTCTATGGTATCATCTACATCCCCAAATGAAGGTGTCCAATACATGGGGCTACTCCAATTAAATCATTCATTTATAGATCATAATTTCCATGAAACCAGCGATTTTGGAGATCCCATTTAATTAAGGTGGTTTCCGTTTCGTCCTCGGGCTACCCCTAGTCATCATCCATTTTCATGGGATTATCTATTATAAACCATCATTTTCATAGGATTTTCCTGTATAAACCTACCATTTTTGGGCTTCAACCAACCAGCGATAAAGCTCTTGGGGTACCCCCATGACTATGGGAACCGAGACACACCAGCTGCTCGGTGGATGTAATTCGTATCTTTCCGCGGATCGATGACCAGGTACACCTGGCGAAAAAATACTGATGAGATCATCAGGTGCGCCATTTTTTTTCCGAAGAAAAATGCCATGGGGGGATAGAAAACCATGGGAAAACCATGAAATATCACTGGTTATACCCTCTGGTAATTTGTTACATAGCTATTGAAAATGGCCATAGAAATAGTTGATTTACCGTTCTTAAAAATGGTGATTATGTTGAATTTTCCATGGCTATGTTAAATTACCAGAGGGTAAGGATCTTTGTTGGGAGTCTATTGCACCATCTTTACCTGACGAAGTGGGACAGTTGGACATAGTTGGACCTTAGCAACTTCTGGGCCCCCTTTGTGATGTGAATGTTGGTTTAAAAAAAAACATGAATACTACGAGTACTTCGTGAAATATCCCATGAAGACTAGTTAAGTTATATCCCCCGTTAAAATCCGTAAACCATATAAACCATAGAATCATAGAATTCACCAAGTTATTTGCGTCAACTTGGCTGGTCAGGCTAAACCTCTTGTACCGAATGTTGGGCGCCATTTATCCAGCAGTGCCTGCACTTTTCCCCTGTTGATTGATGAAGCAGTAGGAGATTTTTCATGGGGATTCAACCAGCATTGTGCCGAAGGTTGGGCGCTTAGCCAGTTTAGCCATCAAAGATGGTAGGGGATTGGGAAAGTATATGGCTTTTACGGTAATCCCCATACAAATGGCACAAATGGCATAGGGCAATATAGGGCACCAAAAACATCCGAATCTTGGGAAAAGGCTGAGGGATACATGGCTTCTTGGAGGTATGTCATTCTCCAAAATGTGAAGAAAACCCTACGACCCAAAATGGTAATGTGTTACATAGCGAACTGGAAGCCATGGCCCAGTCGAAATAGTTGATTTACGCTATAAAATGGTGGATCTCTCCATAGTTTGTTGTATGTTTACCCGAGGCTACAGGCTCCACCAATGTGTAAAACCCTACGAAATTGCAAAATGAATGGCAACATCTGCTGTTTTTCCTCGGGAGGTCGATAAATTGAACAAAATCCCACATGTTTCATCGACATTTGAGGCTTGTTTATTGATGCAATAAGATTGATGACCATGTTTTCTTTGGGAAAATGATTATACTTCACACATCTGAAACATCTGGTGGTTTGGGTTTTTTTTTTCCTCCAGTCCTAAGTATGATCAACATCATGAGGTCGGCAGAATTTGCCGAGAATCATATGGGATGCCCAAAAATTCTTGGGACATGCCAGAAATCATCATTCCTCAGCCAGAAATCCTAGTAAAAATCATGTGCCAAATCAAGAATGTGGCGAACAATCCACAATTCTTCCAAAATATCCGTTGCCCAAATATACCATGAAAAATCCCCGTGAAATCCCCTTTGAATGCATGCTACCCTCTGGGAATCAGACATGACAGTGGAAAATTTTGTTCCGCGATATCAGCCCTCCTTCATCACCAGATTCTATGATATTCCCATTATAAACCAATGATATTTCATGGTTTTCCCATGGTTTTCTATCCCTCCATGGTATTTTTCTTCCCCAAAAAAAAAATTGCCGGCGCACCTCCACTCGATGGCCGGCGCTCAGCATCGGCTCGATGAAGCGCTTCAGCTGGCGCTTTGACAAGGGAGAAAAAACATGTAAAAAGATCCTGGAAAAGGATGAGATTCATATGTGTATACTATACTATACATCATATATATATACACATAATAATATACACAATATAATGACAATATATAATATGTATATATATATATACAATATATATATATACAATATATATATATACAATATATATATATATATACAATATATATATATATATATGTATATATATATCTATACATGTATATATATATATACGATATGTATACATATATATATATGTATATATATATACGATATGTATATATATATACGATATGTATATATATATACGACATGTATATATATATGTGTATATATCGTATGTATATATATAGGTATATAAATATGTGTATATATGTATATGTATATATATATGTAATTAGATAGATATATATATATATATGTGTGTGTATTATATTGATGTTTGTTGCATGGAAAAAAAAAAAAACCTTGGTATCGGTCAAAATTAAAGACCGGGGGACCAGAGATTGAAGTGTTGGTGAAATCGAATCATTCTTGTTGGATCCCCCTCATTTTACATCTAGTACCCAACAAAGAGCTGGTAATGACTAACATTGCTATTGAAAATGGCCCATTTAGAGTTGATTTACCTATTAAAGATGGTGATTTTCTATAGCTTTGTTAGTTTACCAGAGGGTAACCTGAGGCTACCTGATGCAAAATCTTACGTTTCTATCATTTTTTGCCTGCTGATGTCGACAAAATCCCTGGTTCCTTGACTCCCCAGTATCAAGTTGTGTTCCCCCGTACTGTAGGGGTCCATCCCGGTGGTTAAGAACCCTGGTGGTCCCAGCGCGATGGATTGGCCTATTGAAAAACCCCAACCACACGAGCCGTGGGATGATCCTCCAGTCGTAGTTTCGCCATTAGAAACTCTAGATTTCCCACATTTTTCCCATATGATTTTTCCATATTTCCATGATTTTCCCACATTTTTCCTATGATTTTCCCACTTTTTTCCTATGATTTTTCAGTATTTTTATGATTTTCCCACATTTTTCCCATTTTTCCTACGATTGAGTGGGATGATGCTCCAGGGACGATCTCTCCATCGCACCTTGGTGCGAAGTTCCAGGCGCCGAATCTGCCCCGTGATGCAGATTGGCAAGCGGTCACCCTTGACAAAGGCCTCATGCGGCACCCAAAGGTGGCTTAAAATGGGTGATTTTACCATCCAAACGTAGGGATTGATGATTGAACCATCAAAAATAGGGATTTAAGCATCTAAAAGTAGGAGTTAGCCATCCAAAGTAGAGATTTAAGTGATTTAAGCATCTAAAATGCTGATTTAACATGATTTAACCATGAAAAATAGGGATTTCACCAGCAAAAATGGTGACTTAACCACCAACCTCAGATAGCCTCTGGAAATCAAACATGGCACGTTGGAAAATGTTGCCACGACTGGATGATATTTTCCCAACTCATCTCAGCTTGGGATTTCCCACGACACCGGAGACTCATCCGGAGACTCATCCCTTCCCCAGAACGCTTTTCGGTGCTTCGTGGGTACATCTCTTTGTGTAGTTGAGGTCATGGGTATGACGGTATGACGGTTGGGTTTCCATAGTCATGGGGCCCCCATAGCTGGATGGTTTATTTCATGGAAAATAACAATCTAAAATGGATGATAACTAGGGGTAGCCCTATGACTCAGGAAACCTCCATATACATATACATATACATATACATATACTGATATACATATACATATACATATACATATACATATACATATACATATACATATACATATACATATACATATACATATACATATATATATACCTATCTACTTCACAACTGTTAGATTAATGACTTAGTTAGTGGAACATTCTCGGTTATCACTTAGATAATATATATATATATATAGTTATAGGTCCACCATGGTTATATATGGTTAGATGATGTTCGATGGATTTTGGTTTTAGTAGTTATAGTTGGTTTATGTTGGTTTAGTCAATAAGACGATTAAACCCACATATCTTAGCTGATTCATAGTTGGTGACAGTTGGTTTTTACATGTATCTGGGCAAATTATAATATTTCACGAACCTGAATTAAGGCCATTTGGGGATGATTTCCCTTATTCACCATGATTCCAGGGTTCGGTCGCAGTGAGGTCGTTATAATTTACCCAGATGTATATATGGTTCGATGAACTGGAACTGCACTTCCTAGGGGATGAAACCTCACATTTCGACAGCCATGGGAGTAGCCAATGGATCAGATTCCTCCATGACATTTACATGAAATCCCTATTGGATTCTTGGTGAACATCAAAAAGAATCCCCATTTTGCCAAGTTTGATGTGGTATGGGATTAATGAATCATATTGTTGCTTCATGTTGGTTAGTTATATCCCCTTAAAGCCCTTTAAAAAAAAAAAAAACATTTGAATCCATATATCTATAGATTATTGTCCCATCCATAAATCCCATCATTCCACTAGTAATCACTATTGTTATATCCATCAAATCATCAAATCATCCGCTTTCCCCATCCGAAAATTTCCCATGAAATGATCCATGGGTCCATGGCCATTTGATGAAACATGGCCCCAAAATTTAGGCTGCAATCACTTCACCAAAGCCGTTTCAAACAGGACCCGCCCCTAGCAAGTCTTGGTCACTTGGTGAAACCCAATTGCCTAAACCTGGGAAGAGGGGTGAAAGTTTGAATATTTTACGGTTTTACTGAGTCAACCACTGAGGTTGATCACCATTTTTTCTATAAAAAGTTGCCATTTTAGGGGCTATATCCCGTTTTCAAAGCCCATCTGGAAGGGACATTTGCCAGGTTCCCATTGGGTTGTAAGGTTCCGCTCATAGATTGCACTTAGATCTCAAAAATTCCCCATATTTTGCTGCTGAACACCACGAACATTGACGAACTAATCGTCAACAGGGGTGTCTAGCAGCCACTTTGAAAAGGTGCTGCCTTGACTCTCCGTGGTAGCGTCCGCTCTTCCCTGAGTCAAGTGGCATCTTCAGCGCTGGAGACGTTGTTCGAAACAAGATCTGCAGAAGGGGGAAATGTCACGATGGGAGTCGGGCTCCGTGCGTGGTTCACGGGACTGCCATACTTGGGGGTATGGGCTATAACGGGCATTGGCCAAAAAAATAGGGATTTGATGGGGATATAATGGGGATAAAACCAAAAAATTGGGACAATTGAAGGTAAAACCAACCACAATGGGAATGTGATGGCTACATAATGGGAATATAATGGGGATGTAGTTGATTTGATTACCATGTGGATCACAAAAAACATCATATTGACAGCACAATGTGGACATCCCCAACACAGTTCGACGCTGAGAATCACCCATTGAGGACAAAGTGTATGCTGGGGGGACGGTGAATCCCATTATGTCCTAAAACTATTGTCATCATGTCATCCCCCCAACTAACAAATGGGAATAATGGGAAATAACTATAGATAACTGTTTGTTAGAAATAACTATTGTCAAAATACACCCCAACTAACAAATGTTATTTCATCTTTTGAGCAGTGTGAAATCCTCTATCATTCCATTGAATCCTGGTTGTTTTTTTCGGGATTCCCCGTTCTTGGATTATCAAAAAATCCCCAATATATGAAGGGTAGTATCATCCCCGAACTAATCATCAACCAACCATCATCTATCAATATGTATCAACTATATAAGGTCTTGGCTCCGTGCCCATCTGAGGGAAGAATTTCCCCCCCTCATTTGGGTTAGCCTAGTTCCTTAGCGGGTTGTGCGCGATACCCGCGGGCCATTCTGCCTAGTGCTGAGTGGCCTTTCCGAGCGCTAGCTGCTGGCGACCTGCGATCCTGTGCTCTGCCCAATTGGGCAACACCTTATTGAGGTGCCCCTGGTGATTGTGTATGCCCTGTTGGTCCACGGCTCACTTCTTCCTTGTGGCCCTCTTCGGCGTCCTTCAGCTCTTCAGCTATTACGCCTTCGCAGCGTCGATCCCAGCGACGTGGGAGAGCTTCTGCCCGGCGTCGATTGTTCCTGCACAAGCGTGGTTGGATCAAATTGAGCCATCAGCAGTTGTACAAGATCTACACAGTTTTGGCCAGGCATCACTCTCGCGATCCTTTACACCTTGCCAGCATTCTTGGCAAGATGGAGCTCCAGCCCTGGAAGTGCCAATGCGGTCGCCTCAACAAGAAGGTAGCCCGGACCTGTGCCTCCTGTCATTGGGGTTATGCACCCCACCCTCAGGACTGGCACTGGACTCAGGCCTCCTGGCCCCAATGGGATCCTCAACAACATGTGAGGCCGCCAAGAGACAACAGTGTACGATCAACCCACTCGAATCGAACAGATCGTTCCAGTCGGTCATATCGAACAGATGCTTCGGACCGTGCAGATGGAGACAATTCCTATCGCTATGGCCCCAGATCCAACAAGGACAAGCCCAAGAAGACCAATCGTCGTCACCGCAGAGCTCCCAAAGGATCCAAGCCCGCGGCCAGCGAAGATGCGGATGGATCGAAGCGATTGCAAGAGCCAGTTTGGTCTTCCAACTTGCCCAAACTCCAATCGGTGCCAGATTCGACTCCAGTGGCAGCAGCATCGTCTTCAGCCGAAGAGCAGCTCCGGACATTGACTGGGATGTTGCGCAAGTCCCCAGACCAGCTTACTCCGGAGACCCAGGCCTATCTTACTTCGCTCACTGTGAAGGCCACTCATTCAACGGCCAAGTCGCTTCACAGCTCCGTGACCAAGCTCGAGAAGGCCCAGAACGCGTTGACAGAAGCTCAAGGTGCTCGCCTTCAACTCCACAGCAAATGGAGAAACTTCGTCACCGAGGCAGTGGACAGGTGGACTCAGTCCACCGAAGACTTCAAGAAGGACGATCAGATCCTGGAGGCACAGATTCAAGCAGCGAAGGAAGCCCTTGCTGCCATCAAGGACCAGTATGCCCAGACTCAGACGCAGCTAGGCATGACTGGGGCCATTTCTATCGAGATCTCCGACGAAGAGGAGACCAAAATGGATGCAGCCTCGATGAAGATTTCCGATGGCTTGCAACAGATGATGGGCTCTCTGAACAACCTCAAGCAGACAGCCGACCAGATGGTGGAAGAACAGCAAAAGGCCACCAAACGGCCCCGCTTGGGCGATGCAGCTTCAGAGGAGCAGTCTTTTATGCAGCCCGACAAGATGGAGCCTTAGGGTCTGCTTGTCAAGGGCGTCAACTTGGGACATCAGAAGCTGTGCTAGCATATTGGAGCCATTCCATTTGTGACGAGCCCACGTTCAAGTCGCTTTGGGCCGCACGATTTGATGGTTTGCACCTTGCCTTTGAGCTGGGGCTGCCCACACAGGCTCCTTTCATGCCTCTGTTGCAGCGCTGTGGGAAACGCAGTGGTCCCAAAAAGGTTTCCTTCTCAGACACAATTCGTTTGCAATTTTGTGCAGCAGACTCGCTGCTTAGTGCCAGCATGGACATCTCCGATGAGACGTTTCGCTTGTGGACTGCGAAACCTTGGTCTTTGCATGGGCGCTCAATCTCACTTTCTATCACCTCACAACCCTCTCTACATGGCGATTCCTTTTCTCGTGGGCAAGGAGGAGAATATTTCCATGCTAGTGATGAAGGTTCTTTTGTGCAGTCGCATGCGATCAAACGTGCGCGCAATGAATATCAACCACCTGAGTGGCCAGATCTCGCTCATCCTGAAGCTCCCAATGATGATGGGCCTGAGGATGGAGTGCATGAGCATTCAGCATCGTCAGACAGTGAGCATTCTAGCCAGCAATCTTCCTCGCCAGAATACAGAGATGATGAAGTTGCACACTATGCAGGTGCAAGTCGTACAGTTCTGTTGTACTGGAGAGACCATCCGGCCATTCATGCACACATATATGGCCGCGATGTTGAAGATCAATTGGCCGCCATTGCGGCCCATCTTGGAATTGAACGGCACGATTTGGTACAGGTTTATCGGGTTAATGTGGAGCTGCAACACATACCCGCACACATCACTCCGTTGGTGGTGCATCACCTGAACGACTTTGTGCCTGGTGAAGCTGTTTGCCTTTGCCTCGTGGACGTGGAAATCCATGGCAATCGACATGAGACCAATTACGCCTCTTTTCCTGCTGTCGATCGGAGAGTAGTGATTATGCCCCAGAGATTGACGAGGAGACTGATTTTGGAGTTTTCTCTCACTCTTCCCTATTGTCAGCGTGTCCAGCACAGATGTCTGGTGCAGGTGAATGACAAGCCGGTGAAAATGCAGGATGAGCACTTCTTTTGGGCCTCTCATGGAGACTACATTCTCATCCGTGTTCCTCCTGATGAAGAATGTGATGACACAACTTCTTATTTGATGGAAGAAGCACTCCGAGAAGCAAGGCGCACGATTTTGGACTCTCCTCTTGCCACACCGCAAGATGGTTACTCGCCCAGCCTGGTCCCTTCGGAAGACATACGTCAAGAGTATGGCATAGCCGCTGATGAGACCTCAAGTTTGATGCAGACGGCCTCAACTATGACCCTACCGCTGATGGACATCTCTTCCAAGATCTTGAATGCCAATGATGTTGATCTGCCTATTGATTCCGAGGCATGCATCTCCGCTGGCCGAGATCTACCACCTGATCATCCTGTTCCGGGCTCACCTCCACCTCGACGTCTCAGTTGGACCGAGGAGTTCCTGAGAGCCATGGGTGCCTTGCAGACCGCACAGGCCGACATGCCCGAGTTTCCGGTGGAGCAAAATGTGCCCATGGCAGACCTTCCCTCGTGGGTACAAGAACTTTGGCCTATTTGGCAAGATTTTGCTAGGCCTGGCCCAGGTGCGGTGGAATACATTGCCAGAGTCGAAACCTGGTACACCGATCACAGTCGTGTTCAACATTGTCTCTCCTCACGCATTGTAGTACTCGGGTCTGATCCGACGTCCTGGGTCACAGACATGGTTGCGGCCTGGCGCGATCTTATTCTACCTGGTCACGATGTTCAGATTGTTGCTGTTCAGCCTATGACTGATGATCAAGCACCCAACATTTGTGCGCAGCTACTCCTGATTCAGCGCCCTGATCCATTTTCCCGTTCAGTGATCGTTACAATCTCAGATACGGCAGTTCAACGGGGCATACCACAATCATGGGCAATTGTTGCGGCTGATCACGTGCGTCTTCACTCCATTTTGTTGATGACCAATATGCTTTATCAATGCCCCCCTGAAATCCTCACCAATCGATGCCGTTTGTTTTATGGCACTCGAGAGCTTCGAGGGGAGGCCTACATTCCTGCGGCCCATGGGGATGTCTTTCACCTGGTCATCCAAAGGGATGTCACAGTGGACATTGAAACACTTGTTGGACTCCCCGACCCACAACTCCGGCAGAGATTGGCGCAGCTGCTTGAACAGGGCATTCATTACCTACATGTTCAGCATGGTGAACGACCTGATTTGCCTGCAGTGATTGCCCCGGACTGGTTCAGCCAGCTAGAGCAAGCCTTTGATGTCAATGCAGCTCCAGAACTCCTTGAAGAAGGACTTGTTCTCTACATTCATACATGGTACCTGGATGCAATGACTGCCATCAGCTGTCCTGTCTCCAGACCGGTGCGCTTGCTCCAAGATCGACGTAACTGGAGAAGTTCACTGATTGCGGTTTGGCAGGATCAAATTCAGACGCATCAATCCATTGAGTTTGCCTTTGTGGATCCGATGCCACCCAGATTACCATGGATGTCACCAGCCGTGCATGTCTTGTTGACACAACGGGCAGATCCAGTGCATGCTTCGGTTTTGGTCAGTGCTATCACTTACCAAGGTGAGGACCCGGCCTTGATTCAGGTCATGCACTACCTTCCACACAGAGTTTCAGGCGCTGATGTTATTGAAGCTCATTTAGCCCGAGGGCTGCAGGGTCCTTATCGAGTTCGACGGGGGGCCCACCTTTTTCCTGCTATTCAAGCCGTCCAGATTGGAAATGGCGACAGCATCGAAATTGACTTAGCCCCTTCAGCTACGATCCAGCCTTCCAATGACAATGACGCTGTTAACCTCCTCCAGAAGTCGGCCAACTTGGTCCAGCGAAAGGCGAATCCGGTGACCATTTCACTTGATGCGGTGATCCCCCCGGCTGTAGACAA